CAGGTGCATGTTATATGAGGGCATGAAGAGGATAGAAACACAATGATATTTATTTGTGAGTATAAAATTTGGATACGTGAGGGAAGAAGTTATCCCGGCAATGGTTTTTTTCTCCACCGATCTAATTTATTTCGTCTGACCAGGGAAAATACAGGTGGTCCTCAGCTTACGATTGCAACTGAGCCCAAACTTTCCGTTGCTAAGCAACACAGTTGTTAAGTGAGCTTTGCCCCATTTTACGACCTTTCTCGCCACCGTCGTTAAGTGAATCGCTGCAGTTAAGTTAGTAACGTGGCTGTTGAGTGAATCTGGCTTGCCCATTGGCTTTGCTTGTCAGGAGGTGACAAAATGGGATCACATGAACCCCCAAAACACTGCAAGTGTCATAAATGGGAGTCAGTTGCCCACTTCTGAATTTTGCTCTAGTCCAACCCCCTGCTCAAGCAGGAGACCCTATACCAGGGGTAGGCAACCTTGCTCTTTTATGACTTGTGGACTTCAACTCCCAGAATTCCTGAGCCAGCATGGCTCAGCTTGGAAACTTCTCCCTTTCCCCTCAACATGGCTGGCTCAGGAATTCTGGGAGTTGAAGTCCACGAGTCATAAAAGAGCCAAGGTTGCCTACCCCTGGTATAGGTGGTACCTTGCTCAATAGTAGTAACTGTGAGAGGGATCTGAAAGTCCTAGTGGACAATCACTTAAATATGAGCCAGCAGTATGCTGCAGCTGCCAAAAAAGCCAACACAGTGCTAGTCTGCATTAACAGGGATAGAATCAAGATCACATGAAGTATTAATACCACTTTACAATGTCTTGTTAAGGCCATACTTGGAATACTGCATCCAGTTTTGGTCACCATGATGTAAAAAAAATGTTGAGACTCTAGAAAGAGTGCAGAGAAGAGCAACAAAGATGATCAGGGGACTGGAGGCTAAAGCATATAAGAAACGGTTGCTGGAATTGGGTATGTCTATTTTAATGAAGAGAAGAACGAGGGGGGACAAGATAGCGGTGATCCAATATCTCAGGAGCTGCCATAAAGAAGAGGGAGTCAAGCTATTCTCCAAAGCCCCTGCAGGCAGGACAAGAAGCAACAGATGGAAACTAATCAAGGAGAGAAGCAACCTGGAACTAAGGAGAAACTTCCTGACAGTGAGAACAATTAACCAGTGGAACAACCTGCCTCCAGAAGCGGTGAATGCTCCAACACTGGACGTTTTTAAGAAGATACTGACAGCTATTTGTCTGAAATGGTATAGGGTTTCCTGCCTGATCAGGGGGTTGGACTAGATGACCTCCAAGGTCCCTTCCAACTTTATTACTATTACTATTACTATTATTATTATTACTGTTGCTGCTGCTGCTGTTGCTGCTGCTGCTACTACTACTACTACTACTACTACTACTACTATTACATTATCCAATTGAAGGAGAACGAATCCTTCCAAATGCAGGCGAGTTGCGCAACATTGTCCATGCCTTGAGTTGTGCAGTGAGTGAAAGCGATTACAAGGTAGCATGTGAGATAAATAGACATGAGCCGAAACTCAAGCAATTCACCCTTGGGCTTGCTTGTTCAGATCTTCCTGCAGAACTGAGCAGGCATATAGCAGTGAGCAAACAGGAGCTATTTCTACCCTTGTAGTCATCCAGTGTTTTTGAACTGATAACATGGAATAACAGAGTTGGAAGGGACCTTGCAGGTTATCTAGTCCAACCCCCTGCTCAAGCAGGTGACCCTATATATCATTTCAGACAAATGGTTGTCCGATCTCTTCTGAAAAACCTCCAGTGTTGGAGGACTCACAGCTTCTAGAGGCAAGCTGTTCCACTGATGAATTGTTCTGTCAGGAAATTTCTCCTTCGTTCTAGGCTGCTTCTCTCCTGGATTAAGTTTCCATCTGTTGTTTCTTGTCCTGCCTCCTAATTGTCTCTATTCTGTTTTCTATTTTCTCTATTCCATTATCTGGGGTGAAGAGGAGGAGGTAGGAGAATGTTGCACAAATATTTTTCTTCTGAAACATTTTGGCTCTGTTAATGCTGACATTAATGCTGAAAAAGAAATGAAAATAAAGAATTCAAACTGACTGGGGAAGCATTGTATGGTGATAAGGTGGCTGGGTTTGGCAGGTAATTTAGCACAAGGATGCCTCAACTTAAAACCATTCCTTCAGTGACTGCTCAAAGTTACAACGGCACTGAAGAAGTGACATGTAACTATTTTTCATTGCAGCATCCCTATGGTCATGTGATCAAAATTCAGACGCTTGGCTCATATTTATGATGGCTGCAGTGTCCCGGGGTCATGTGATCCCCTTTTGTGACCTTCTGACAGGCAAAGTCAATGGGGAAGCCAGATTCACTTAACAACCGCGCTACTAACTTAGCAATGCTTCACTTAACAATTGTGGCAAGAAAGGTTGTAAAATGGGGCGACTGTCTTGCTTAACAGCAGAAATGTTGGGCTCAGTTGTGGCCATAATTCAAGGCCCGCCTTCGCGTGGTCTTCAGGAATCTTGGGAGAAACATGGAGCTATGTCTTCACCTTCTTTTAGAAATGCAGAAATGGGTGCCAAGATGCCTGCCATTCCCATAAGCACTGCTTACAGGAACAAGAGATCTTTGTAGTAATAACTTTATTGTATGTATGCATCTGTGCTTGTTTCCAGGTGGAGTTGGGAACACCGCTATATATTTATCAGGCCCCTTGTGATACGTTTCCTGAATCCTAGGAATTCACAATCGTAGGACAGATGCAGTGCACACACAAACTCACTTCGAAAGTAGCAGGCAACCACAAAATATACTATTTATTTGGATCTTCAGCGGCTGCAGCCCCAGATCCAGTTATCTGAGAGTTAGTTCCTGGTTCAGTTTCTTCTATTATATTTCTCTGATTTAACAGACAAAATATATGGATCATTAACTAGAGATCTTCAACTAGTTGAAAGTCACTCTTTATCTTGGGAAGAATGTTGCCACTGATACCTTTCAGAAAGGAATCTGAAGAAAGGAAAGTAAAAGCTCTCCAGATTCATTTTTACTTCTCTTGACTGCCTTGTTAATCTTTCTCAAACAGCAGCAAACCCGAATCAGAATAGAGCTGGAACCAACCTTGGAGATCCTCTAGTCCAGTGTTTCTCAACCTTGACAATTTTAAGGCATGTGGACTTCAACTCCCAGAATTCCACAGCCAGTGTTGCTGGCTGTGGAATTCTGGGAGTTGAAGTCCACATGCCTTAAAATTGTCAAGGTTGAGAAACACTGCTCTAGTCCAACCCCCTGCTCAAGCAGGAGACCCTATACCAGGGGTAGGCAACCTTGCTCTTTTATGACTTGTGGACTTCAACTCCCAGAATTCCTGAGCCAGCATGGCTCAGCTTGGAAACTCTCCCTTTCCCCTCAGCATGGCTGGCTCAGGAATTCTGGGAGGAAGTCCACCAGTCATAAAAGAGCGAAGGTTACCTATCTCTGGCCTAGGCCTAGGCCGCTTTATGACTCATGGACTTCAATTCCCAGAATTCCTGAGCCAGCATGGCTCAGCTTGGAAACTCTCCCTTTCCCCTCAGCATGGCTGGCTCGGGAATTCTGGGAGTTGAAGTCCATGAGTCATAAAAGAGCCAAGGTTGCCTACCCCTGACCTATACCATTTCAGAAAAGTGGCTATTCACTCTCTTCTTAAAAACTTCCAGTGATGAAGCACCCACAACTTCTGGAGGCAAGCTGTTCCACTGGTCAATTGTCCTCAGTGTTAGGAAGTTTCTCCTTAATTCCAGGTTGCTTCTCTCTTTGATTAGTCTCCCTCCATTGTTTCTTGTCTTGCCTTCTGGTGCTTTGGAAAATAAGTTGACCCCCCCCTCTTCTTTGGGGCAGCCCCTCAAATACGGGAATACAGCTACCATGTCACCCTAGTCCTTCGTTTCTCTAGACCAAGATAACATCATTATCTCTTTACTTCCTTTCTAATCCAGGATTCTCCAAACTTGGCAAATTTAAGACTTGTGGACTTCGACCTCCAGAATTTCCCAACCAGCGTGGCTGGCTAGGAATTCTGGGAGCTGAAACCCACAACTCTTAAAGTTGCCAAGTTTGCAGACACCAGTCAAAGAAAAACCAAATGCACAAGTACAGCATAGGTGGCACCATGCTCAATAGTAGTAACTGTGAGAGGGACCTCGGAGTCCTAGTAGACAATCACCTAAATATGAGCCAGCCATGTGCTGCAGCTGCCAAAAAGGCCAACACAGTGCTAGTCTGCATTAACAGAGGGATAGAATCAAGATCACTGAAGTATTAATACCACTTTATAATATCTCAGTAAGACCACACTTGAAATTCTGCATCCACTTTTAGTTGCTACGATATAAAAAAGATGTTGAGACTCTAGAAAGAGTACAGAGAAGAGCAACAAAGATGATTAGGGGACTGGAGGCTAAAACATATAAGGAATGGTTGCTGGAATTGGGTATGTCTAGCTTAACGAAGAGAAGGACGAGGGGGGACAGGATAGCAGTGTTCCAATATCTCAGGGGCTGCCATAAAGAAGAGGGAATCAAGCTATTTTCCAAAGCACTGAAGGCAGATCAAGAAGCAACGGGTGGAAACTAATCAAGGAGAGAAGAAACCTAGAACTAAGGAGAAACTTCCTGACAGTTAGAACAATTAACCAATGGAACAACCTGCCTCCAGAAGCAGTAAATGCTCCAACACTGAAAGTTTTTAAGAAGAGACTGGACAGCCATTTGTCCGAAATGGTGTAGAGTTTCCTGCCTGAGCAGGGGGTTGGACTAGATGACCGCCAAGGTCCCTTCCAACTTTACTACTATTACTAAAAGAGGAGCAGGAGTCACCAGCTATTGAGAAGTCCAGCTTCTATTAGGAAAACTTTCTGGGGAAGAAATGCCCTCGACAACACAATTCCAGATAATGAGGTCAAATTGCTTTGAGCTTTTCTTACATGAAAGGGTTAGTTTGCATAGTTTCTGTTTTTGTTTCCACAGTTTCTACAACTGGGACCGAAACCTCTGCTGCATGAATTCAAGCCCAAACTACCAGGTGATTGCAGAAAATGCATGTGGCTTACTCTTTAAGAACAAGTCTGACCGGAAGATCATTAACGTGGATCCCAAGGTAATAATGTTGCCTTAGATATTTTTTAGATCCTTCAACATATTGTTTATCTCCCTGTATTTAGGCCTCAGGGACACATATGGTCTTTATCTCTCTAATACGTTTGTCGTTGACCTGTGCCAAGATATGCTGTAATGAAGTTCATATATCTTCATATAGGCTTCACATATCTTTGTGATAAAATATTCTTCAATTTAATAGAGACAAGAGAGACATCCAAATTAAAACCATCCCTGGACCATGTCCTTCCACCTTCTGCTCAAGCATCCAAAATTAATCAGCAGTCATCACTTCTTCAAATGTTTCTTTTGCTATTTTCCAGAAGAGGTTTGTTCAGCACAAAATAGCATCTACTATATTTATATATCTTGAATAGCTTTTGATGAAGCGAGATGTTATTGAATCACCCCCTTGAAAGATTTGGCTCATTAGTTCAGAGAGCAGTGTAAAATAACAACAAAGTGTATCCTGGTCTCCCCAAAAATCAAGCTCCTGTGAATTATGGGAACAGGGTAAGGGGTGATGTGACACTTACTAATAAAAACAGGACAGGCTGTTCCAAGACAGTGCAATAGGCAAAATTACATATGAATGCAAACTTGGTTATTGAAAAACATGGATACCTTTGATGATTGATTGTCTATAGCTGTCCAACTCAACCAAGGCTAGCTATTATTATTTTTTTTAAATAATTTTTATTCATAATACAATTAAAACAACAATGGACAAACATGACATTCCAGAATGAATTTTCCTATCAGTTCCTATCATGGTACAAAAGTTTAATATATCGTTCTTAACCTCTATATAAGCCTCATCTTCTATACAATACAATTATATATACAATTATATGTACAGTTATATATATGTTTTAATTCTACCATTAACTTGAAGTCTAAGCAGTTCTCCTTAATTCATACCAACGGTAAAATTTGCCCCAGATTTCGAAGTATTCGTGTTCTGTCTTGTCTTTCATAATCATTGTAAGCCTATCCATCTCAGCACATGATAGAATTTTATGCAGGATCTCTTCTTCCGTTGGAGTTTCCTTATTCCTCCAATTTTGAGCAAAAACCAGTCTAGAAGCAGTTAAAATGTGTAGCATTAAATAAAGTACGCCTTTGTCATGCTTTTGCGTAGTTAAACCTAATAGAAAGAGTTCTGGTTTTGGTTCTACCGCTTGCTCTAATATTTCTTCCAATCATACTTTAATCCTGTTCCAAAAATCACGAGCTTGCGTGCATTCCCACCACATATGATAGTAAGTTCCACTTGTCAAATTACATTTCCAACATTTAGGGGAGACATTGGTACACATTTTAAAGCAGTGGTTCTCAACCTTTCTAATGCCGTGACCCCATAATACAGTTCCCCATGTTGTGGTGACCCCCAAGTGGGTGTGGCCACCAATAAGAGGGAGTAGGACAGCTTGGGAAAAGGGAAAAAAATGGTGGATAGCATGGTTTGGCGACCCCCGTGAAATGGTCATTCGAGCCCAAATGGGGTCCCGACCCACAGGTTGAGAACCACTGTTTTAAAGGCTAGCTATTATTGATTAATTTAAGGTTTTAATGAATATCTTAAAAACAAGCTATGTTTCAGAATACCTAAAGAGTCTCCCATCTCCAATTTCATTGCCTTCTAAATGTTCACTTATCCATAAATGGCAATTACTTCCACTTGAAAGTAATAGTCATTGTTTAGTGTTCTTTTGGGGACTCAACCTTTGACAAGAAGAATAGTATAAAAGAATAGAAAATAACAGAGTTGGAAGGGACTTTGGAGGTTTTCTAGACCAACCCCCCCCCCTCCTCAAGCAGGAGACCCTACACCATTTCAGACAAATGGTTGTCCAGTCTTTTCTTAAAAGCCTCCAGTGATAGAGCATCCACAGCCTCTGAAGGCAAGCCGTTCCACTGATTAACTGTTCTCACTGTCAGGAAATTTCTCCCAAGTTCTAGATAGATTTTCTCCTTGATACGTTTCCATCAATTGCTTCTTGATCTGCCTTCAGGTGCTTTAGAAAATATGTTAAACCCTCTTCTTTGTGGCTGCCCCTTAAATATTGGAACACTGCTATCATGTCACCCCTAGTTCTTCTTTTCATTAAACTAGACATACCCAATTCATAAAACATATAAGGAACGGTTGCGAGAATTGGGTATGTCTAGTTTAACGAAGAGAAGGACAAGGGGGGACATGATAGCAGTGTTCCAATATCTCAGGGGCTGCCATAAAGAAGAGGGAATTAAGCTATTTTCCAAAGCACCTGAAGGCAGGACAAGAAGCAACGGGTGGAAACTAATCAAGGAGAGAAGCAACCTAGAACTAAGGAGAAACTTCCTGACAGTGAGAACAATTAATCAGTGGAACAGCTTGCCTCCAGAAGCAGTAAATGCTCCAACACTGGAAGTTTTTAAGAAGAGACTGGACAGCCATTTGTCCGAAATGGTGTAGGGTTTCCTGCCCAAGCAGGGGGTTGGACTAGATGACCTCCAAGGTCCCTTCCAACTTTACTACTATTACTATTACTAATTCCTGCAACCGTTCTTCATACATTTTAGCCTCCAGTCCCCTAATCATCTTTGTTGCTCTTTTCTGCACTCTTTCTAGAGTCTCAACATCTTTTTTATATCATAGCAACTAAAAGTGGATGCAAAATTTCAAGTGTGGTCTTACTGAGATATTATAAAGTGGTATTAATACTTCAGTGAGCTTGATTCTATCCCTCTGTTAATGTAGCCTAGGATTGTGTTGGCTTTTTGGCAAGCTGCAGCACACGGCTGACTCATACTTAAGTGATTACCTACTAGGACTTTTAGATCCCTCTCACAGTTACTGCTGTTGAGCCAGGTACCACCTATTCTATACCTGTACATTTTGTTTTTCTTGTCTAAATATAGAACCTTACCTTTCTCATCACTGAATTTGATTTTGTTAGATAGGATCTTCAACAGCTGATTGGACAACTTAAATCATTTTTCACTGTTAGGCTTGTGATTTTGATTCTAAGCCCATATATCTGGGTTTATAGACTAGGTTCTATTTCCAAAGAAGGCCCTTACTCACTTCCATTAACACAAACTTGTTGGGATTGTATGTAGCCTTGGGTTTGATATAATTCGGGGGCAGTGTCCGGTTTAGGTTTGATAGGACGTCTGGGGCCAAGGATTCCTACCAGTCTTGTTTGCATGATCGTTTAGATCAGGGCTCTCCAAACTTGGCAATTTTAAGACTTATGGGCTTCAATTCCTAGAATTCCTCAGCCAGCATGCTGAGGAATAACACACTGGCTGAGGAATTCTGGGAGTTGAAGTCCACACATCTTAAGATTGCCAAGTTTGGGGAGCCCTGATCTCAAGAAGGGAACAACAGGTGTTTGTTCCTTCTGTGGCTTCTTTAGCTGGTCCAAGCTTTCTTGTAAGTGGGGCAAGGGCAAGGCTTCGCCTCTCCCTCAATCCCTCTGCATTCGTTAGCCAATAGACAGCTACAGGAAACGGCAGAGAAATAAACAGAGGTTTGGCGAGCAAGTCAAGCAGATACTTGGAACCTTTGCCTAGAGCAACTGAAGCTTAGCAGGATCAGTTGCCAGATGCAAACCTTGAGGCTCTGCCTGAAGCCGGAGGATGGAATGCAAAATAAAATAAAATAATCACAGGCTTGCAGGCCACAGGCAGGAAATTGGCAGATCCAACATTTCCAAGTGGTTTCCTAAGGGTCACTTTGTGCTGCGTGGCCGTATAAACCAACTGTAAAATAGAGGAAAGTGGGCTGTTTTCTCCAGGTGGGAGAGCACCAAAGGTTACGTGTCGTCAAACCAGCAGCTGCACCATCATAGAACCCCCATTTGCCTCAGCAGGTACATCTTTTCTTTTTTCTAATAATAGTAGTAAAGTTGGAAGGGACCTTGGAGGTCATCTAGTCCAACACTCTGCTCAGGCAGGAAACCCTATACCCTTTCGGACAAATGGCTGTCCAATCTCTTCTTAAAAACTTCCAGTGTTGGAGCATTCACCACTTCTGGAGGCAGGTCGTTCCACTGGTTAATTGTTCTAACTGTCAGGAAGTTTCTCCTTAGTTCCAGGTTGCTTCTCTCCTTGATTAGTTTCCATCCGTTGCTTCTTGTCTTGCCTTCAGGCGCTTTGGAGAATAGCTTGACTCCCTCTTCTTTATGGCAGCCCCTGAGATATTGGAACACTGTTATCATGTCCCCCCTCGTCCTTCTCTTCATTATTTGCTGAACAATAAACTGAATGAGTGTCAAAAAAGCCACCCATCATAAGCAGGTGACTGTAGATGCTAGAACCAGTCATACATGCAAGCTGGTTGTCAACTACCTGACATGCAATCACATGATGGGGGGGAGGACCATTTGTAACTTTGAGAACAAGTTGTAAGTACTTTTGGGAAGTCCGTCATAACTGCAAACAGTCGTTGAGCAACCGGTTATAAGTTGAGGACTACTTGTACATGTAGCTCAGGGTTGAATTGTGGAGTTCTTGGTGCTCTTGGTAAGCTTGATTGTGCTTGCAGATAACTAGTTACCTGACTAGGTAATATCTTCAGTGCTAGAAGGAAGTGGGATTTTTATATGGTAGTAGTTGGTCCTGTTGGGGATGTTGTTTTCTCCTTCGTAGTTCTTTGATTGGGTTGTTGTTTATAGCTTGATTGTCTTGAGTTGATCATTCTTTGAAGAAGTCACTGTTTACTGCTTAATTTATGGTCTGGTGTTAATCCTTGAGTTAAATCCTGTTGAATCCTTGCTAATCCTGAAATTTGAATAGAGATCTGGAATCTTAGACCCATAGCAGATGTTCTAGTAGTAAAAGATCTGGGAGAACAGAGGCTTTATCTCCAGGTGCAACTGTTGCCTACAATAACCCTGCAACACTTACAACTGCAGTGATGTTTTATATAAAAAGCAATTCCCCAGAAGCTGTTTTCCCCTTTCCAAGAGACTTTTAATATATAATTTTATTAAAACTTTTAAAAACGAAATT